CTGCATTAAAAGCTGCTGATTCTGTTGCTTGAGAATTCTGATTTCATAATCTTGGTTACTCAAAGACTCTTCATGTTCAGCACTCTGCTCTTGCATTTGTTCAGACTTCTCATTTAAAGTCACTACTTCCTCTTCTAATTGATCAATTTCTTCTTGTAGGGCATTACATTTGGAGCATGATGTCCCTTGGATATCAACATTCTGAGTCTCTCTGTTTGCTTGTGCCAAAGCCACCTTTTATTCAAATAAAAACAAATAAAATGGGATTTTGAAAATAAGTAGTCTATGGCTAATTAAATTTGAGTTCTGTTTTAAGCCTGAATTTTTTTTTTTCAGGCTCAAATATTGACAGCAGTATTGGCCGTACATATTCACTTATTTCTGATGTCTCTACAAAGCTGCTGAAAGGACAACTTCTTGTATTATTATATGGGATTATAATTATCAAAATTAATAAATAATAAGTAAATAGTTTATATGTTAAGTCGTATGCTACATCGAGTGTATAAGCAGATTAAAATATCTGCCTCAGTTTTGTTCGCCCCATTGTGTGTTGGGTAAAAGATCAAGCGCGGATTTGATTAAAATATAGATCTAACACGACCTTCTCCCATAAAGCCTCAGTGGCTGGGCAGTCGAGCTATCTCGTCTAGCAAACAAGAGGTCAGTAGTTCAAGTCCTGCGAGAACCCAACTGAGGCAGATTTTTTAATCTGCTTATACACTCGATGTAGCATACACTTAACATATAGATCTTTACTGAGTGACAAAAACACATTTCATAATTAAGTAAATAGTTCTTGGTGTAAGAGGGAATAGCACTTAATAAATAGCCAGTGGCTAAGAAACACAAAAGGCCATGCTCTGTGATTGAAATTTAGGAGAAAAATAACAGAGGACCTTGAGAAAACACAGGAGAAAACCAACAAGCAATTCTAAAATTAATACAATTCATCCAATCAAATACTCAAAACATATTACATGAACATGGCACAGACAACGTAATGCCAGGTCAATATACTACCAGACTAATCACATTGCACTGGAAAAAATCAGCCATATCAAGGATTATAGAAAACATGCGTATGACACAGAGCTTTTCACAGTCATATGAAACTGATCTACAATCTTTTACATTAACAAATAATTATAAAACCAAATTCAATTTCAAATCAAATAAAAAATAATTTATATACAATGTACCTTTGAATTATTACACACAGTTTCTACCAGCTGGGGAACAAGTAATTCAAAAACATGCAGATTCTGCAAAGTAAATCACAACAAAAATATGTAAACAAATGACTTTTTTTTACAAATATATTTGACTGGGAAAGTGCACAAATATTCTAACAATAGTTGCATATGATGAATAACCAAATCAGGGAGCAGAATATGGTCCTCCTTTTGGGAATATTCCAAAGATATTGCCAATATAAAAGCTAAAAGTATATTCATGAATGAAAAAATTAATTTCTGCAATAAAGACCTTTTCGGCTTGGATGATCCTGGCCATTCCCAAGAGTATCATTTATTTGTTTAACAGAATTTAGGCCATGAAAAACTCAAATGAAGAATCTTATTATCAATTGGGTATCAAATAAGTATACAGCATTTAAGGGCTGGTTTCCAATATTTGCCTCACATGGACACCGTACTGATTGGTGACATCAAAAAAACTAACAAAGAAATGAATGTAAATATACTCTAGCTGTTGTAGATGCTCACTATTATGGGTACCAATTCATTGTCCTGAGGGTGTCCACATTGAGTTGACTGTATTGATAATTTGATAATAAGTTACAAATAATATATTACCTGCAGGTTTGGTTGTTCTGGCAACTGAGCTTGTACATCTTGAACACGAGACCTTCTGCAAGCATTATGTAGCTCTGAATGACAAAATCTAGATCCTGGCTCTAGTGTCTGATCATGTTCACTGGCACGTAAGATTTTCCTGTTATCATCTGCACATGCCTCTATGGGTGTTGTTGAGCCTAGTTGCCTATCATTGGTACCGCTATCAACACTTGTACCCTTGGAATCAAATGACTCTTCATCTAATCGAATGATACTCTCTGAACTAGATGTAGTGTTATCAGATTCAGAATCCTTATTTTCGTTGTTAAAAGCTGATTCTAAAGGTAATCCATGATTTTCGGAGTCCTTTCGCTGAGTCAAAGCTTGTATTTCCCCCGGTGGAAATTCCCAAGGCTGTCTATCTCTGTGTTGTTTGTGTTTGGCTTGACCCTCGCTTGCATCATAACCTGTATCAGTAGCAGCTGGTTGATGTTGGTTAGCAAAATACTCTCCTACTTCTTTTTCTTTCGACACATCTCTTAAGCTGCTATGTCCATGATGACTTCTATCTGTAGCATCTTGGCTCCCTAAATCTTCAGGACAAGCAATTTTTGCATGAGACTCTACTGCAGCCACTGGTTGATCTTGTACTTCTTTTTCTTCCATTGATACATCTTTTAAATTGCTATGACCATGATGACCTCTACCAGCATCATGGTTTTCTGAATCTTGAGGAGAAACATTCCATACTTCTCCCTCTTTAACCAGGCTCTCAAGAATCCTTATAATTTCAACTTCTGGTAGATTCTCAAGGAACTTCCTGACATCCACCTTGCAATTTGAAGCAACTAAACTTGTATCTTTCATCTCTTTATTTCCATTAATCCAATTCTTAAGTTTTTCGACACAATATTCATTTTCACAGAGAACTTCTATTAGTTTTGCCTGCATATTTGATGCCATACTGGGGAAAAAGGGAATGAAACACTTTGATATCAAGAACATTTTGATAATTATTAGTATGACATTTATATTCCAACCAAGGCTATGCCATCCAAACAAATTTTGATACAAATTTTGATACAAATTTTGAAATAAATTCACAAATCAAAGCCTTGCCATGATTGTGATTGGCTAATTTGTATAAAAAAATTGTTTTGGTGGCCTTTGGTTGGTGTAGTTACACTGTAAAACTATATCAAAAGTTAAAACTATTCATTCTAGTATATATATTACCTGAGAATGTTGTTGAGAAATTAATGTTCAGTCGCTGACCATTAATCTGGTTCTCTCCTCTGCTGCGAGGGTTATTCTTTGGGTAGACCCCTAAAAAAAATATTCTAATTAATAAATATTCTTAATTGATTAAGCATTAACAAAAACCATCAGGTTTGCTGGTTGGGAGAATAGAGGGCTTTTGGAGAATAGAGGGCTTGGGTGTATTAATGCCAGCCAAAAATTAAAATACACTGTTTCACTCCCTCGTGTTGGGGCGCTACCTAATTTTTAGATCTTATTAACCGAGCTTGGTCGGTCTGTACGAGATAATCTTGACCGAGGTCAAGATTATCCCGTACAGACCGACCAAGCTCGGTTGATAAGAGTTTTATTATATGACCACTTTTCATTGAAAAGGACAAAATGTTTTCGCCGTAAGATTAATATGCGATCGGACCGGTTAATACCGGAGAATCTAGACCAGTCCGCGATGCGATCTACGCAATCAGATTGTTCGATTTGCTAGTGTCAAGTCTCTAAGATTCACAGTCATATAATAAAAAACTTACTATTCAACTATTCAAAAACCTTTAATTTTCTGCACGATGTGAACTTGGCTAATAAGGTCAAGTTAGGTAGGTGAGTGTCATTGAACTCAAAATTATAAATATTACAAAATATGTGAAAAATTGTCTTAAACATTTTATAAAATCAAAGTATAAACGATATGATTGAATACTTACAAAATCTGTAGGGGATTCTTATGGAGTAAATTATATATTTCGCATAAATCGAACCAAGAATCACAGCTTAGAAAACTGATTACTTATCTTTTTTATCTCCTCATGGTTTTTTCCGTAGCTCTCCCTTCTCACATTTCCCCTAGGGGGTTACAGTAGGGAATTTTGTCATTGTGCAATACATACACAATACCTTTTGCCCAAAACAGCCTCACTCTAATAGCTGCCTGTCATACTTTTTGACAGAAATCATCACATCTTGGAATCGCAGAAAAAAAAAAGAAAAAAACAATGTGTTAATAGACAATTTTCCATCTTTCTTGACCTTTTACAGTCATACAAAATATGCGCTATTTTTGTGGTCGCAACTGATTGGTAATAGACCTTTTCTGCTTGGGCATAAATGTTTTCCCATTTCAGACCACGTAACATTCTCTAGAGAATAATTCATATCCATGTGTGCTTATTCACAACTGTTAAACAAAGAAATGATACTCTACAGAATGACACTTGGTCTGAGATGGAAAAAAATATCTTTCTCTCATGGCCACCCACTGCACCTCTTTTTGACAGTGATCATCAATTTTTTGTGATCCCAGTGATGTGTCTGTGCATTTCACACCATATTGTGAAGGGAGTGAAAAACTGAACTATTACAGTCATTCTCAATCAACATGCACCCTCTAGTGATCATTTCTGTTGCGACAAAGAAGGTTTTGGTGGACGTCAATCAAAAGGTGTTTCCATAACATTGTCAGAAAACACAAATCTATAAGGGCACTTGCCTATAGAATGTCATGGAAACATCTTGATTGACGTCCCGGGGGGGCACTTCACCAGAATTTGGGTAGGGGTGTTCCGCTGGGATTCTGACAGGGGTACCCTGGTTATGACAAAAAAATCAAATTTGTAGACCCTGTTTATGACAAAAGATATAACTAATTGCAGTGAGTTCCTGTTTCAATTATCATGTCATCTCGCGTATTGTTTTTTTACGACCATGATAACTAGTTTCGGTCAATACGAAAGTAGAAACCCTGAATATGACAAGAAACTCAGGAAGAACTTGGACCTTGAGTGAAATTGCATACCCTGTTTATGACAAGAAGCTTGACAAACCATACCTTGTTCAGCGGATCATCCCCGTATAGTCCATATATGGGAGTACCCCCCCGGGATTGACGTCCACCAAAAGCTTCTTCGTCATGACAGAAACAATCACTAGAGCGGCACGTGTGATCGAGAATGGCCATAATTATTGTTCTAAATGTGTATTGCTAACTAACAGGTGATTTCAATTCTCTCATCCTGAAAGAACTATAACCAATCAGTGAAAATCTTGTTTGCAGCTCAAAATTTCCTAGTTCCTGCAGATTTTCAGCTTGATAAACAATAGCTTTTACTTGAAATTTAAAAAAAACTTATCAATGGAAAGATAATTACCAAATATCTTTTAGAAATAGAATACTCGTAGTTTGTCAGTGTTGGTGGAAAATATTTTGGTTTGATAGTTACCTTAATAGAAAATACTTGGAAATTATTGCTGTGACAAACAATGCATTGCATGCTTAGACTAAATTAGATAACCTAATCATCTATTTTCTATGCAAAATTGAGTCTAACTCTGAGTACTAGAGGTCAGACTTTTTTATTAGAGACCTTTGCATCAGCTTTACTGCTAACCACTAACTGCTAGGGATCAGGCCCAGAAAAACAAACACGCCCACAAACACGGGTGAGACACTCAGCATTAACGAAATTCAATATGGCAGCTCTTCCAGCAACAAATTCGTTATGACACCTGCTAAATGTCAAGGTTTGACGGGGAAAAAAATGACTTTGAACTGCAGTTTAAGTTTTGATGCACATAGCAAGAACGTCGTACTAAAGTTTTCTATTGTTCAGTTCAGTTATTGCATCAGCCTTTGTGCTAAAGGTTTCTATATTGTTCAGTTCATGATCAGTTATTGCATCAGCCGTTTTGCAATTCCAGTCGTCTGGCATTTTGCCTTCTGTCAATCAAACTTTAACAAGCCATTCGCAATTGACAAAAAAAAAATTCCTATGACTCGACATGAGCAGCCCTATATGCTTGAATATGATGATCTAAAAGAAGTGCCAATAGTTCTTTCTGATTGGGATGAAACTCAACATAATTTATATGAAACTCAATATTTATAACACTGAATAGTTAACGCATGAAAACAAACTCACACATAAGCTTATATTACGATGTAGTCTTTACTCCTATTACTTTATGCATTTAAGTTTCAAGAGACAGAAATACTTTTCGCTGGATAAAATAAATCGCAGTTATATTATATTTACCGGTAGGAATATGAGCTAAACTAGCTGGATATGTACAAAGGAGAAAACGCCGTTCAAATTTAACCAAAAGAGCTTTCATTTAAGCGAGGTTTCCCCGATCATAACAGCTATTTCTTGTCAAATTTAAACGCTATATATATATATATTTATTGCTAATTACCGGCGTAAAACAACATTTAAGCACAGTTTAAGAGTAAATCAAACGAAGTGCTGGAAGAACATTGGTCACTTCATGAGTTCATGAACACGTTTTTGTACGAAGCTTCACCGCAAAACATCGTAGTATACTAAATTTCCTAGTTTTGAGCACGACATTTTAAATTAAAATCACTTCCACACTTTTAAATATAGTTTGAATATTTTAGATAGGCAAATATTTTTATTTCGTTAGAGTTTCTAGGCAAGTTCTAATTTTGATTCGAAGCGAAACGACTTCCCAAAACGCCATTAAAATTACTTGTCACTAGGACGTTCTTTTCCCGCCCTTAAGCTATCCAAGAAAAAAAATGATAACAGTACACAGTTTTAACTAGATTAATGTAGTATCTAAGCGATAACTCACCAGTACTCGACTCTTCCTTTTCTTATCCTTGAAAATTAATTTTAGGAAACCGTGAACGTCCAGCTCTCGTGATCGTCTTCTTGCTCATATTCTTGCTCATATTCTAAATGCATGTTCTGTTCTTTTGCAGTTTTGATACCAGCTAGTAATTATTACATTACGTCACGATAGCTTGCACGATTTTTTATTGGCGAATACGATTTGTTTATATATGTTGCATACGTAAAGATCCAATCAAAATAGAATAGAAAGTATTGTTATATCTATTTTAAAAATAAGAATTTGGATGAGATCCAACAGTAGTTGTCGCTCACGGTGCTTGTTGATCATACACTCACGCTTGACTTCCGTGTTATTCCTTGTCGTGTGCCGTTAGTTTTACAGTAAGCGTACTTATTTTTATTTGACTGAAATTAAAGGAAATAATTTGTAAAAGATACATCTTTTAGTGACTTCATTTATAATGCCGCTTTCATCGATATTTTCTATCGCTTTTGTAGCCTGCGAGAGGAGAAGAGAGCGGGAGAGGGGACTCAGGGGAGAGGAAAAGGGAAGGGGAGGGTCCCGATTTTGAGGGTATAAAGTTGACACGCTGGAAACATAGTTAATAGAGGGGAATGGTTAGGAAACCTATTGTTATCAGGTCTTTGTTCGCTTGTGATGTTGAACCGGTCTTGACCGTGCAATATGTTTGATTTATGCTCATCCGAAATTGCAAAATAAGTAAACAAACTTTGTCTACGGGATTATTGTAAGGAAAATTCAATTATCTCTTTAAAATCTTTAAGTGTTTTGAACTAGCTGCCAAAAGAAAGATTTTAGTCTGTTCACTCAGCCATTGCCAACAATGGTAAAACAATGGTAAAACAAAGGATTGTGCACGGTCATGCTTGAAAAAAGTGAACAATAACCTATGATAATAGAGTTTCCTAACCATTGCCTTTTATTTACTGTTGGAAAAGGGAGCCCATTTAATCTCAGCACTATTTTTAGAACAGGAGACTATTTTTAGCATTTTCGCCTTTCACTACAATTCAAATCTAGCAAAGAAAATGCCCAGTACACAGGAGACGTTTGACGAAAAATATTCTTATCTTCATGAAAAACTCTGAAAAGAAAAAATTGGAAAGCTATCTTATTTTTTATTATTTATCCAGATGCTTTTTTAAATTATCACAGCAATATACTACTTTATGGAAACTCAGTAGATATAAACTCCTTTTAATTTGGTTTGTGGTCTTTTAATACTTGTGAAATCAAAAATATAAAAAGTTGTGCATGATTATTTTTGATTGATGCGCAAGCTAAGTGTGAAACAAAATCTAGTAAAACATTTATGACATCACCATATATATTAACTACCATTACCCATATCAGTCCTTGCATAGTTTCTTTTGTTCATTTATGATTCAAACATTTCAATAGATACATTGGTAATAATTATAAGATGACACAATAATTATGTATTCCCCTAATAATTTGAAAGAATGTTGTCAACAATAAGAAATAAATAGGAATTGCCCTAATTCACTATGAAGTCACTGCTTGTTTATGGGGGGGATAGAATTGCCAAATTCAATAGAAAATCCAACAAAATTTGCTCCTAGCAAAACAGTTTAATCTAAAATGGCCTGGTTTTCAAATATAATATGTGTTACTATGTACTAAAACAATTATTCTGAGCATTAGCTGGATATTCTACTTGACTCTTCGTGGATTGATACACTGGTTTTAGAAACATTTTTGGTGAATTTGCGTTGATTTGACCCCCTCCAATGACTATGATCCTTTGCATTTAAACAATAGATAGTTGAAGATTATTTTGATGTGACATCATAGTGAATTAGGGCAATTGATTTAGAGATAATTTCTTACTTTGATTTTAAACATTTTTGAAATGACCTTGTAATAAAGTATAGTCTCATTAAGACAGTATTTTCATTGATCTACTGGCTAGTGAAAGTAAAAGTAAAAAAAGTGAAGTAAAAAAGTGAAGTAAAAAAAATCCTATTTATTATTTTTATATGACAACATTAATTCCTGCAATTAGGTGTAAACAGCATTGTGGTAATTCAAAATTTTGTCCTCTATATAATGTTAAGAATTGTATTTCTTATAATCAAAAATTATAATAAATATTATTCTGAATTAAAATTGAATTAAAATTAAGATTAAATGATTAATTGCATTTTTTCATTAAATATCTAAAACACAAATAAATCCTATATTATCTAAATAAACTATACTCTATGTATCTAGTTTTGTTTAGAGCCTTTCTAGAAATCTTTTGGCTAAAATTTATAATTCATGGTCACCGAAAAGAACTTTTAAAATTAGTAAAAATGGATTATAATAACCCATGTACCTAATTTATGATCCTAATTTATCTATACTCAAAATACTCTAAGTATTATATTATTATTATGAGTAAAATTATTGCTATTAAATTTATAGAGGAGAATACATGTACGCAGTAAAGTCCCATTATCTCAAACCCGCTGACATCTTGAACATGTCCAAGGTCAACTTGCAACATTGTGCAGTACAGCAATTTTAACCTGGTAATAACCCCAATGTCATTTCAAAACGATCTTCTGGTCCCCCAGAGGCTCAACAAAATTACTAGGTGATGGGACTCCAAATTCTTCTCCTGTGTACAAGTGCTTCCCAACCCTCCCCCTACCTGGAAAATCTGGGAGGGAGCATCTGTGTGTCAACCTTTCTTAATCGTGTTTCAGAAATAGATTTGCGCATATAATACCTTATTTCAGTATTTATGCATGGCGGACTTCAGAGCTATTTAACGAGTCAGGGAAACCTTCGAAATATCAACTGAAGCTTGTTTCCAGAAAAAATTGAAGCTCTTTAACTTTTCTTTGACTTAAATTCAAGAAGCAGAAACAATTTTCTTGTTCTCCTTTCCTATTTTTTTCAGTAAGGGCCGGGAGGCGTGGGAAGATGCTGTACACAGGTTACAAATTTTTAAACTGCATGTATTTCCAGCTGCTTAAAATGAAATAATAGTTCCAAGAGTTGAGGTTGGAGTTGCAGCGCATGATAAACTATATATAGAAACTCTAACCTCAATTTTGAACTACCATTTGTGGTCACTGACCGGCTGTAAGATGGTGTATTGTACTCTCATGATGTTTTTGATACAGTATGTATCTGATTGAAAGTGGGTTTAATTTTCTGTCAAATAACCTATAATATATCACTTTTCTCTTGATCATTTAAAGATGTATATTTGTTGTTGTTGCAACCGTCATAAAAGAATAAAATTGAAAAATGAGTTTAGTTATTAGGTGGTTTAACGGTGATGAAATTCGCACCACAAAAATATGGAATGTTTCACATTCTATCTTAGTTTTTGATGATTGGTTTCTTTGTATAGTTAAAACCATCGCTAAGTCACTAACGTATGATATAAAAAGCAATAAAACATGCTGTTGACATGACAACATGCAATTCACCACAAGAATATGGAATGTTTCACATTCTATCTTAGTTTTTGATGATTGGTTTCTTTGTACAAGATTTATTGATTTATTGATAAATAAAAGTACAGTTAAAACCATCGCTAAGACACTAATGTATGATATAAATAGCATTAAAACATGCTGTTGTCATGGCAACATGGCTCTTAAGTACCAATTATACAAACACCCTGGGCACTATATTACAAGGGAATGAATTTTCCTGCATAATTTTCCCGAAAGAAATATACTTTCCTCATTACTATTACGAACCATCCGATTGTTTTAAATGGTTTTCTCTGCATTTGTAATAAGTATATACCATCAGTAACTAATCATTCCTCCTTGGGAGCGGAGCAGTCCTCTGGAAGCATATAGTGCAAATATTGAGCAGGGCCATGCTATGCTAAGGCCTCTGTTAATTATATTAAGTGCTCACTTTGTATGAAGATTTTAACATCACTCATCATCACTCTGAAATAAAGGCAGAAAAAAAAAGTTAGAAAAAAATGAACAATACTTATGAAAATCTTTCAATCACTTTCCATGGAGCACAGTCATTATAAATAACACCACCAAAAAATCAGCAAGATGAAAACTTGAAACAAAAAGCTGATACAAAATTTATACATGAATATTTTCCATGGAACTTTAATAATTCGGAGTACAATATCCTGGGTGCATGTGAACACGCCTGCTATAAGCTTATAAAATAATATCATTGATGCGTTAATGTTTAATCACACCTGAATAAATCTTGATTAGTTTCATGTGAAAATAAAGTGATGAAAGTATCAGGTGCTGTTTCAATACCTCCAGGCATGCAAATTAAAATTAAAATTGATAATGTTCTGGTTGAGTGATATTTACTTTTTTTTAATATTTAAAAACAATTAATAAGATAATACTTTTTTGATTTTGCGTTTCACTGATAATGACTGTGCTCTAGTATTGATCAATAAATACCAAAACTAAATTTTAATGATTTAAGGGACTGTTAGAATATATTATTATAATTATATATAGGGGATTAATGATAATTTTGGTAACAAGGTAATCAATGAGAATTAAAGTACATTATTTTAATATTTATACTGAAAGGATACTCCTTTGCCCGAGATAATAAAAGCTCTGTAGAGACACTACAATCCACCTCCACTGGAGATAGCTGAAAGCTTCCATTTTGGCACTCGCCATCAAAAACCAGGAGAATCTGTCAATGATTTCATTTTGGCATTTAAAGAAACTGTCCATACACTGCAATTATGGAGAATTTCTTGGCCGTGTCTTAAGGGACAGTTTTGTGTGTGGACCTTTTTTTAAATTTTTAAAATTTATTTTTTATTTATTTTTTATTTATTTTTTATTTATTATTATTACTATTTATTATATTTTACAATTAAGGAGGGTAATTAAACACTAGGTGCTACCCTCTAGATGTTTACAAACATTTTTTTTTACAAAATACAAAGGTATGTTATTATTTACAATTAAAGAGGGTAACAGTACTAGGTGTTACATTTAATGTTTTAAATGCTCTAAAGTTGGTCATATTGCAAAAGTTTGCCATAGAAAAGTTGAGGAAAAAGCAGCTCAGTTGGGGAAAGGTAATATCCATGCGTCGCATGGTAGTGAAAGTGATGAATTTGAGTTTTACTTAGTTGAAATAGTGAGATCTAGGTACCAATAATACAAGGTGCAAATAAATGTTTATCAATGGGTGTGAGTGTGAATTGGAGATAGATACTGCAGCTGATTTTTCCATCATGAGTAAGACACGGCCCACTCCACCCAACAAACATCAAGTTGAGAACCTACACTGGTGAAACACTGGATGTTTGTGGTGAAATGTCATGTAATGTTATACATAAAGGTCATAAGTATATATATATTGCCAATGCTAGTGGCCAATTATGAAGGTAAACCGACCTTACTGGGTAGGAATTCTTTAAGTCAAGTAAAGCTTGAATTGCATGGGGTGAGATATTCCAGGTTACTAGCTCAGAGCTAACAACTGGGAATCAGATCAAGTTAATAAATTACTATCAAAACACTGTAAGTTGTTTTAAGATAGTTATGAATAAGGTTTGAAAAGTTTTGAAGCACACATCACAATTATACAAGATGGTGCAAAGCCTGACAGTGTTTTTTAGGCCAAGAAAAGTCCCCTATGCCTTAAAAGAAGAGGCTCCGAGAAGAAGTTGGATAAACTTGAGAAGCATGGGGTGATAAGTAAGGTTGTTGAGAGGTCCTCATGGGCTAGCCCTATAGTGGTGGTACCAAAGGCTGACCAGTCAGTGAGAATACTTGTGGCGATTACAAAGTCACAATTAATTTAATCAATCTGTAGAGGATGAACAATACCAGGCCCACTCCTCACTAAACAAGACTTATACACTGCTCCACTGGGAGGATCCAAAGTATTTAGCAATTAAGCTTGATTTATCCCATGCGTATGCACAGCTAAGTAACGTTGATAAAGAGAGTCAGGAGTATCTCACAACAAACACACATAAAGGACTTTACTCTTATACAAGGTTGCCATAAGGTGTGAAGTCTGCTCCAAAGATCTTTCAGGCCAAAATGGACCAGATCTTACAAGGGGTAGAAAAATGTGTATAGAAGCAGGATGATATTCTGATTGGTGGTAGCATTAACTCACAAGAGAATTTAAAGATTCTCTCAGAAGTATTAGATAGGTTGGACAAATATAATGTCCACCTAAAGTTGCCTAAATGTGAGTTTCTGAAGCCTGAAGTGGTATATTTAGGGTTAAGAATAAATGCCATTGGCTTACATCCAGTTGAAGAGAAAATTGATGCTGTTATGTCATCGAGTTAAGATCTTTTTTTAGGCATGATCCTGAGTGCTCATTTCTACCGGATCTAGCCACAACCCTACTAGCACCCTTGCATGATAACCTTTTAAAAAAAGAGGTGCAGTGGGAGTGGACAGCTGAGTGCCAATGAACATTATAATATGAAGCTTGTTAAACGAGGACTTACGAGTGAGTCTTTACTAGTACACTATGAGGTAAATCATGAAATGAGACCTGTGATGCTTCCAGCTGTGGGCTTGGAGCTGGTGAGGGCATGCACTGTCTGTCAAAGTGTTAGAAACACTCCACCATGTGCACCACTTATTCCATGGAAGTGGCCTACCAGACCATTCTAAAGAATTCACGTTGACTTCTGTCAGGCCTATTTTGAGCCACGTCAAAATATTTAATTCTACCCAGACCGAAGGGTTCGTCATTTCCGGTCTTAAGTATAGTCGGTTTGTATAGGGTTACATTCAACCTCGTGTGTAGCCTCAGTTGTATATCTTAGCCTTCGGTGCGGACATATTTTCCCACCCTCCCTCCCTTATGGAGGCTTGAGAAGTTTATAACCAGGCCTTAATTTTCTTCTGTTGGATTAAACTTCTCATTGTGCCAAACAAAGGAGTGTTGTGTCATTGTTTCATATTAGTTTTGTTTATTGGGGTTCTATGAGTAGAATTAAAAGACAATGATTACTTCTCAGTCAGTCATTCCAAATGGCTTGAAAGGGCTAGTGCAACACATGACCACTACCACAGCTGAGTAAACTATTGATGAGTTGAGGTTGATCTTTGCCAATCATGGTTTGCCTGAGGAGTTGGTGTCGGATAATGGACCACAATTTGTGTTCACTCAGTTTGCCGAGTTTGTGCGTAGGAATGGGATCGGATACAACACACCTTACAGTAGTTCCCCCATATCACCCACAGTCAAGGGGAAGCAGAGAGGTCAGTCAGAATTGTCAAAGAAGCATTATTTAAACAAGTAATTCAAGGGACAAAAGGAATGATAAGGTTTGGGTATGAAACACAAGGGCAAAATTTTCAAAGATAGAAAAGTGGATTCCAGGGACAGTTAAGGTTTGTGGCCCTAGATCATATTATGTTAATTTAGAACAGGACACAGGACCAGGTATGTCCATGCTGATCACATGAAAAGGCACATGATAATGTACCAGAAGATGTGCCAGAGGACATTGGTGAGTTTGAAGTCGTGGCGTCTGAATCATGTGAGCAGGAACCCCTGATAATGAGGAAAACCTTGTTTATAGAGTCATGCAACCACTTGCTTGATTGATCCTAGCGTAAAACCTACTACAACTTCAGTGAGTTTGAGTACTTTGTTACCAGTTTTAAGAAGATCTCAGAGAATTAAAAAACCTGTTGTTAAGCTCAACCTTTAAGTATAAGCACATTATGTTGTTGTTAAGAAATAACATTTTCCTTTAGGAGGAAGTAGTGTAATAATGTATTCATGACCATGATGCTTTGCGATTAAAGTAGCCACAAGATCGAGGAGCTAGATCAAACTGTGTTCGAGTGTCTTCATTTAAAGGAAATACTACATTTTAACTAGTGGATCGATGCTAAGTCAAAACTTATCAAAATAAGTCCTCAAACTATTGCAGTATTTGACTATTTTCACGACATGATCAAACCAGAAAACAAGAGATCAAAACAACCTCCAGGATTCTACAAGCCATCAAAAAAGAGATATTACCGGAAGTGATGTTGATAGTAACCTATACTAATGATAAAAGGGTAAATTTTACACCTTGAAAAGATGAAAAAACTGGCGTTTCAGACGCTAGTCCTTGGTTGGAGTAAAAGAAAAAGAGAGGTGGTAGATCAAGGAGTGTTTATTTACTAAGAACAATTAGACAAAAGAAACCAAAGAGAACAATTAAGCTAGGAGGGCAAGGAAACGATCGAAGAAACAATCAAAAGACAAAAGAGTATGTGGTTTAATTAAGAGCAAAGCGTTCATTAATCCCATTGGTTTCTTTCGTCTTGTTCTTATTATTAAGTATATATCATTTTTCTTTTCACGGTGTATAATTTACCCTTTTATCATTACTGTTTCATTAGAAACACTGGCGCAGCTCACACTAGTTTTTAGCTAGTTTTTAGCTCTCTTAATATTAATAAAAATCATTAATTTTGAAATTACCTCATCATTCAAAGCACCTGTCCATTGGAACCCTTGCCTCCTGGCAAATTCCATGAGTTCTACATAAACCCTTTGCAATCTGTTGACCTCCTCATATACTCTACCTGCAAGTTCTACCTCACGAGATAAATATGATGCAGCCTGAAATTGGACATAAGATTTACAATTTACGTGATAATTGATCTTCATTATATTAACCTAGCCTACTGACCACATTTGATATGACCGTATTATGGGGTTTTGTGAAAGGGGTAGGGTTAGTGTTCTCCCAGGTCTGTGTTTGTGGTTGAATCTATACTAGGAGATGAGGTCTTGATGCAGAAGATAATAAAATAATAAGGAATTATATCTTCTCTTTTCAGTGCCTCCTTTCCCTATTCTATTCCCCCTTAGCGGTGTTTTTGCTTGTGTCTAAAGAAGATACATAATTAATGTGATAGATATTTGTACCTGAGATGCTTGTTGCATTTGAATCTCATCCTCCTTTTTTCTCAAATCTTCTTTCAATTTTTCATTCTCATTTCTTACTTCTTGACAATTTTCTTTGACACGCATTAACAACTGTTAAGATTACAAGCTTGATTAGACTGATAATCAATTAAGTGAAATAATTGGACAAAAGACTAATGTTTCATATTAAAGGTATATGTAAGCAACAGTGGGGCTATACAAATAAGATCCAAATAGACCCTCCATTAACTTTCATTGATAAATTCCATCACTGCAGTCATCTTTTTTTTTTTGTCTGTGTTATCCATGTGTGTCTTATATAATATGTAGATGTAGCCAAGTGAACTTGTCAATGAACAAACATGTTTCAGTTGTATTTTCTGCCCATTCGCAGCACTTGACTTGCAATATGCATGGAACATCTAGTTTATACATGTACTTGACTGTATGTATAATTTCCAAGAATTATGCATTAAATGGTGTCTGCAATATCTTAATTTTATTTATCAGTTACCTCTGAGTTTGTTTTTGTCTTCAAATAAAGCTGAGATAGTTCATGCTCAAGTATCTCTGCTTTCTAAAAACAATTTGGTAAATTACTGTATAAGGGCTTCAGAAAGCGAAATTTGGGGCTATGACAAAAAGTTGTTGCATTAAACCTCACAATTCTTATACTCCCCCCGCGCCCCAACCAAATCCATGGATATGAATGGACTCATCTCTTACTTCATACAGCTGAACAGGAAAATCATTTTCAGGGTTTGTATTCTTAAGCACTTGCACTTCAGCTTCCAACTCCTTGATTTTTTTTGTTCTTTCACCCATGACCTTTTAATAAAAAATGAAAATGATCAACTATTCCAATATTTTCTTAGATAGACTCAATCCACATTTAGATAAATGAATGAAAAATAAAAAAATCAATAAACAAATAAACAATTAAGTCATGGATTACTGAATGAATAAATCCAGGGGCAGATCCAGGATTTTTAAAAGGGTGGACGTGTCAGTTTTAGGCTGCGTTCATAATGCATGTTGTAACTCGAGCCTGGGGCACAATTGGTGAGATGGAGGTGAGCGCTCTCACTGCTACACCACCTGTGCTTCGCAATTTAACGAAATTGCTTGATAAAATTGGAATGGATATAAAAAGTAGATTGGAGAACATTTAATATTCGTCATTTTTGTAACAATTTATAAATAATTAACCTCGCGAAAGTAAAGTATGATACGGAGATGGTTTTCTTTATCTTCACTACTCTCCTAAAAAATTAAAGTAATAATAAAAAATGTTATACATTTGCAATAATATCAGGACTAAAATAATGAAGGTACGTATTAATTAATTAAGGTACGTATGAATGAGCTAAAACTAATTATGGCTATTAATTATTTTTAAAGGAGGCAGCATGGTTGAGTATTCATAGTGTCGGTCTCACAATCAGGTGGTGCCGGGTTCGAGTCCCGCTGTGGCCACTAGCTGAGACTGTATTTGTCCTGATCACTGATTAGTTCAGATTCAGTTTCTTGACCATGCTTGTAAATATAGCCAGTAAATAGTTTGTCTCCTTGTCAGTTGGGATTCTTAACACACTTTATGTTTCTTTGATCATTCATTTCAGTTTATTAATTGTAGGATGGCATAATGAAAGCTACTGGGCTACCCCCCGGGGGGGGGGGGGGGTACTCCCATATATGGACTATACAGGGATGATCCGCAGAACAGGGTATAGTTTTTCGAGCTTCTTATCATTTACAGGGTATACCATTTCACTTAAGTTCCATGTTTTTCCTGAGCTTCCTGTCATATTCAGGGTTTCTACTTTGGTATTGACCGAAATTGGTTATTATGGTTGTAAAAAAACGATACGCGAGATGACATGATAATTGAAACAGGAACTCAGTGCAATGAATTATATCTCTTATCATAAACAGGGTCTACAAATTGTAGTTTTTTTGTCATAAACAGGGTACCCTTTCAGAATCCCAGTGGAACACCCCTACCCAAATTCTGGCAGAGTACCCCACCCCCCCCCCCCCCCCCCGGGTTGGCTACCAGCAATATGTATGTCACCCTTGTTAAAATAAAATAAGTCAATTTTTTTTATCCTGAATATAAAACACATACAATCATAATCAATAAAAACCTGCTGGGAGTACAGTTGCACAAGTCATGTAAATAAAAGCATAATATTTCAAATATTGTATCTGCTGGTAACTGAATAAATTTAAATAAAAAATGATGGAAGTGATTGGTTTTCATGACCATTCAAAACAACCCAGATAGCTAGCAGATAGCAATAATTTATATTAGCTGAAGGATAAAAAGTCTCCTAGTTCCTTCAGCTAGGAAAGGTTTTTAAAAAGCAGATTATAATTAGGTTGTACTGCAATCGATCAGCAGTAGTGCACGTGGCTGAAGAAGCGTTTGATTGATTGCAACATACATGCAACCAACCATCTCGGCATGAACATTCATCTGTGAGTATAAGAATGGCTGGCATATAATTTTAAAGGTATTTGGCTCAAAACAATTTTAAAATTATAAGGATAAAATTTTAGTATACAAACCTTTTGAAATTGTTTCAGAGCATTTTCAATTTGAGCTTTTTTCCAATTCAGTTCGTCCAACTGCCTCCCCATTGCTGATACTTGTTGACTCATCAGATTGTTGTTGTTTTTCAAGACCTGACCTTTGGCTTTGCATTCAATGAAGTATTTTGAATCAGCTTGTTGTTTCTTTTGACTTTTTTGAAGCTAAAAGTATAGCCAAATTATCAAATACCAGGTACATTACTAATATAATATGTTTATTTCATTTTTTGCAGTCTGCGCCAGATATCCTTAAAAAACATGCATTCTTATTGATGGCTGTGCAAGCAGGTGAGCAGTATCCTCTAAGCACTGGGATAATGGATTGCTAAACAACAACAATAAATAACATTTTGCAAAACTAGATAAAAAGTAAATTTCTGGGGGGGGGGGGGGGGGAGTTATTATACCGTCCTAAAGTCATCTACAGTCAGTATAAATTATAAGCAGGACGAAATTGTGCCCAGATCTTGATTAACCTAAATTCAAGACCTTGGGCACAGTTTGTTCTCTATGCCCCTGGACCTCCTGGCTGGTAAAAAATCTTTCTATACTGTCTTATCATATCCTATATCCTATCCTATATGTAATATATATAATTATACAGTATGATCATGAGTGGCCGTGTTGTATCAGATATACATTACCACGAGGATTACGTAGCCGAGTGATTGTATATTATCTGATACCACAGACACGAATACTGTATATGACTTATCAAACCTCTAGGTTTATGTTCCTTTTGTGTTTCACTAAAATGTTCAAAATTAAAGTGAATCTGGCCAAGAAAATCCAACTTATAAATGAGTTTGATAATATATAATATTGTGATTCCATGTTGCCACATTATTGAAACATGTGAAGTTGCTGTGAAGCAGCAGATAATCAAAGGATTAAGCAATTTTGGTCTAACATACTGGTACTAAATATTTTTCATCAATGAATGATTCTGTAATATAATACATACCTCTGTTTTATACATCGATATTAATTAGATCCATTTCACATTACTTCATCAGAAAACTAAGTCATCTCCAATAACGTAATCTCCAATATGCTTAGATTTTAATTAATCATATGAGACATTTTTTGTCATGCAACAGTTGTGTCACACATTTTTTAAAGCCAGAGAATTAAGGTGGCAAAATATACCTTTCAAATTGGTACGCCTATTGTAAGTAAGTAAGTAATAATAATTAACGATTATTCACTGTGTAAAAGTGATTAGATTGATGTCAATGGAATTATTTAGCTACCAAGCTGTTATCTTCAAGCGGTGAGGTAAATATTCACCATAATCATATAATTTTAGACTTGAATATCAGAGTAAAGTCAAAATTCAGGATAAAAAAATGTTTTAGTATTTACTTCCACTCGACTGCACCCCTGGCAAACTTCAGGAAAACCTCATTATTCTGCTCGAGCAGTGATTATCATCTCATCACTGGTCTCTAGACCAAAATCACAGTGCAAGAAACTCTGATGCTTAATTGAGCCAATATATAATACATTTCCTGACACAGGCAAAATTAACCAAAAAATTCTTACCTACATTCTCAGCGTTTCTTTTTCTATTTCTGAAACCTAAATTAAGAATAAATTGACAAGCTTAGCTAGCTCATCACTTTCAAAGCAAGATATACATACAAAAATATTGTGAATATTATAAAAAATATTACAGTAGCTGTGTGAGCTGGAGTAACTGTGATCAATGAACGACCTCTGGTTACCAAATTGAGAAGTGGTGTTAATAAGTTGTATATATTGTTTTGGTCCTTGGGTACCAAAATGCGAGCAAGCCCATGCCAGCATATACCCTGCGAGCAGAGATTCCCTTTTCTATCCCGCTAGGGTGAGATAGAATAGGGAATCTCTGCTCACAGGGTAATGCCAGCACAAAATAATCATAGGACTGTGGACATTAGCAATTATGACCATAACCACAATGCACGTATAATCATGCAGCCAAACAACCAAACTATCTTAATTTCCTTAGTACTTACTTTCAATTTAATTCTTAGTTGCTTTATAATTTCATCTTTAGATTTAAGTTCCAGTTCAGAAACATCAGCTTTTGGACACTGAAAAAATATTAGAAAAAACACATCATGCAAATACTACCATACACATTTAAGCCTCAGGCACTGCACTGCAGATATGGAACAACATCTTTTTTGACATGGCACCAATATGTCAAAGAATTGAAAACGGGTTATTCAAATATCATAATTGATGATTATTAGCCTCCTCCCGCTCTGCAGGCTACGTTCATATATATATTATTTTGCCACAGGAAGGACAAGGAGCCAATGCAAAAGAGCCAAGGAGATCTAGATGCCTGTGGAGGAGGCTAAATAGATGACTCTTTGTCTAAAACTAACATATCAAGTACTTTTACACAAGTGAATGTGATAAATCCGGTGCAGCTCATATTGCATGTTCACAATTTACATTTTATGCTGTTATTATTAAGGTGAACATAACACTGTGATGGCATTTTTGAATGTCATTGTTTTCTTTTGTGTCTATTTGACTATAACACATGTTGACTAACATTTAAAAAAATTATTTCACTGGTTAATTGCCTTCTCTCTATAGTATTTTAATTTTAATTATAATAGCAATGAAAAAATGTTTATTATGTTTAATTACCTCTGATCCTGACCCTACTGGGGATTGAGGCTTTAAAGGGAGCAAGTCAATATTGTTGCAATCTGTAGGTTGCTTATTAGTAAATGCTAGAAGATCATCTCCTCTTGGATCTTGAAGATTTTGATGGCCCTGTACCGGTAAAGATGTTGCTGTTGACGATACACTAGCCATATGCACATCAATACCCAGTTCATTCATCATAGATATGAATTCTTCATTTGGGAGTGTAATTAAATACTTCTTTAGCTCATCTTCATTACGAGGACACCAGCAGCTGGCTGCCTGCATTTCTCCTTGGCTCAAAATCAAATCCTTAACTCTTTGTACATTGGTTTTGTTGCTGAGAAGATTTTTAATAACCTCACTTTTATTCATCATTAATATGTTCGTGTACCTAATATAAATCGAGATAAAAATGATCATAAGGTTGATATTACATAGCGTGCTTCATTTCTCATGTACAATTAAATCATGTCACCTTACAAATTCTTTTGAAAAGTCTTTTCACTGCGGGAGCAGGCTATATATATAAATAATGGCTAATATTTTTCATAGCCAAAGATATTTATTGTCTAATAAAAGGCTATAGTTGGGGAGGGGGGAGGGCGGTCACTGAAAAATATTTTGTTCTTGTTGGTTAATAGCCAACCCCAAAAATATTATTCTAAAATGTAAAATACTTCCCTGCTATACTAGCAGAGGCTATTTTCCTATTTTAACTCTCCTCCCCACCTAATTAAAGCTAAGGGAGGGAGAGAAAGAGGAGAAACTCTGCTAGCAGGGAAGTAAAGCCTGGTTCACATAATATGATCGCAGACAATCACAGACAATCTCACTCGACATCCCCTAGCCCTGGTGATTGAGTGCAATTATTTGTGAACAGCTCTATGATCGTATGCGATCATGTGCGATTTGAGATCCTTGGTTGAGAGGATTCTGCAATCGAGCCATTGAGTGCGATTGTCTGCGATTGTCTGCAATCATATGTGAACCAGGCTTAAAATACCCATACCCATAATGTACAACCCCTTGTGCTCCCTTAAAGTTTACTTGATCAAGTCATTTGTATTTTTATATAAAGTGTTACATGGCGCAATTTTTAGGCTTTGTGAAACTTTCATCACAAGAAAGTTTCACGAAAAGTAGAACCGCTTTCTACTCGTGCAACCAAAACTTTTGTCGGGAACAAACTTTAAAAATAGATACAATGTCAAAATTATTTTGTTGTTGACATTGCAATTTAAAAGTACTGATGTCTTTTGTTTTCAAATGAAAAATAGGGTGATTCTTAAACTTGTCAAATCAAAATAGAATAAAAGAAAAGCACTAAATTTCGATTTTCAACTTAGCAAATAAAAGTAAGATTTCAAGAAATTAAACAAATTTTCGTTTGAATGAAAAATTGCCGGAAAATTGCCACTGATTAAAAGGGTGCTTTTTTCTCACAAGCGGTAAATAGAGTTGTACACTGAAAAAGGGTAGGCTTTTCTATATTGCATCATTTGCCAAAAATGCGAAAAAAGAGCCTGATTTAATTGAAAAGTAGAATTGCCTGAATGTTCCAGCTGATTGTAATAAGCTTATATATGATCTCTATTTTATTCTTACTACATGAAATCGAGCCCTGGGCACTAGATATTCTTACTTTCGTTCAGACAATTTATTATACGTCTAGTCTTTCAAAGGATTGGTCACTGGAGTTGAGTACGACGTGTATACGAAGCTTCTACACAAAAATTCGCAGTATTTCCTGACGTATAGCATTAAAACAATCACTTCTATAGTCTTAACACTTTTGAAAGGCAAATATGTTGATGATGTTAGAGTGCTAGGCAAATTTTACTAATCTTGATTCGAAGTAAATAGGCTTATAAAAACTACCTTCCAAACTACCCGCCATTGGTAAGATATTTTCTCTCCTTATTCGAGATAAATTAGATAATAGTACACAAATTTAACTAGTTTAATATAGTCTCTAAATGATCAACTCACCAGAACTCGACTTTTCTGTTTCTTTTCGTTGGAAGTTTTATAAGTTCTCTCCGTGAAAACTGCACAGTTTCTATTACCTTTCTAACCGCTATGTTTTTGAAACTCGTCAAAAAAGTGACACATGATAGCCGGCATGAAATTAACAAAGCAGGTACACAAAGTGAAAGTGAAAGCAGTACTAGATAAGTCCGCTCCTTTCTCAGCCGTCACCCGGGAGCGGGAGCATCTGGGACTTATAATGGTATGCATTCGGCCATCGATTACTATAAACGGAGGAGAGAACTTTCATTGCGTTTTTAATCAAAATGAAAAAGAATTAGAAAAGTGTAAACTGGCAATAGTTTGAGAATATTTTAGAGTATATACAGAAAAAATTGAGCTGCAGGCTAATCGACTTTGGACTCAGCCGACCGATAATATGCAAATTCTCTGGGTACGCATGCCCAGACAATTTTGCTGCAAAGGCAGAATAGCAAAATTTTGATGCGAAGCTTTCGAAAAATCACAACTTCTCTGCTGTACTGGTACGTATATACAGATATTTGCCTCAGAACTAGTTTTTCCAAGCTGGGGAAGTGAGGGAGGACCCTTGATTGTACCGTGTGATACATTTATTTACTTGTAGTATTTTACATTCAAGATTCTAGGCGGAAGTACAATTGTAAATATTAGTAAATAAGTAGTTCAAGTCTTTATGCTCTTCTTTTCCCGTAGACAGACAAACTATTTTGCAAATAGTATTTCAAATTTCCTTTTGGTGCAATTAATATTTGTGGAAAAATAATGCTTTCGCATGCATAAAAACCTGATATGCAAATCCTAGCAGCATAAGATCTTTTCCTGTTTGCGAAGCTAACGAAAGAAGACGCTGAAGGCTCGATTACACGTAGCAATTTTCTCTGCAACTTGTCTCATAATAGACTGATTCGATTCCATGAAGGCCCTGATACACGTTGAAAATTTTAGCTGAAACTTGCTTGCAACGGCGTTGCGAGACAAGTTTCACGGGGGTTTTTGGCTTTCTGATACTTTCGTCGCGAGAAAGTTTCACAAAAGGTAGAACTGCTTACTACTCGTGCAACCGAAACTTGTGTCGGGAACACGACCCACAACCAGCCACACTAATAGGCCGTCTTTGTTTACGCTTTTTTTTGTTTTGTTTTTAATTTTTTTTAAATAATTGTTTGTTGTTTTTTACACGACATTCCGCTCCTCGCAAGATATTCGTCGATTTTCGGAGTAAATTCGCTAGCCGGTGTCACAGGGATTTGTGTTCCCCCGAACACTGGACACTAGAGTTTTGTGTTCCCCTTCCCCTCCCTATGAAACATCTTTTGACACGATTCTCTCCCCCAGGTCAGGGGTGCTCTATAATTGAATGATTGGTTTTCGGTTTACAAACCGGCTAAATCTTAGAATTTTCTTCAAATCTAAATTCAACGAACGAATTCAAAGATCATGGAAGCTTCACAGCATGATAATGTTCAGTTTTAACTATTTATCCCGAAAGGAATATCCTCATGGTTTTGCGAATAAAGAAAAATATGTTTTACGGAGAATGCACAAGAAGTTCTCGCTCGAAATCAATTGGGCACGAAGAAACTCGCGTACTATGCATTGTAAAAAAAGGAGGGGGAAAAAGAGTGGTAATCAGAGGACGTGAAGAGAAGCAAAGGGTCTTTGAGTAGTGTCATTCATCTGTTTTTGGCGGCCATGTAGGGCTACATAATACAGCAAAGAAATTTTGCATATGAATTTTGCCACGAGACCAAGAAAAGAACTCGCTTGATTTATTATAATCGGTAAATAAAAATTTATCTCCCAAAATACCAACGGCAGTAGAGGATCACGCGGTTATACGATGTCCGATAAAGATGCACGATAGAGATAATCCATTTATTTTTCGTTTTCAGAGAAAATATGTCCTTGACCTGGGGGAGAGAATCGTGTCAAAAGATGTTTCATAGGGAGGGGAGGGGGAACACAAAACTCTAGTGTCCAGTGTTCGGGGAACACAAAAAAGCAGTCTTTTTTGGTTTGAAATTCTAAATACCTAGAATGAAAATAAAGAATCCAGCTGGTTTTATGGAAAATAAGGGAAATAATATGTCGCATGTTAAAAAGACATAAGCTCAAGTTAACAACAACAACACTGTAGAACGATCGAACGTGCGATAATGGATTCATTTTACATACAGAATATTTAACAAAGGTAGCAAAGCTTTGCCGCTTTAAACCAAACGAAGGCTAGTTAACCAACTAAAGTTAAGATATGTCTTCGTAGAGGAAAAGTCGAAGGTTTGAAATTGACCAAATAAACATGTTGGACAAAGCCTGTCCACGATTTTTTACTTATATACACGCGTTCTCGAATTTCAGCTTATTTTTCATTAACTCTCAAACTACATGAATTACGATTACATATCCATGCTCCTTTCCTCGATTCCACAGCAAGTTGTGATTTCAATTCAACAGGGCGATAGTACTTTAGCTAGTTCGCGGACGACTTCGTTTTAGTTTGGAAAATATGGCTATTCTTCGCTCACGATGATTATCTGTGAAACTCAAATGACCTTCGACGAGATTCAGAGACATAAACGGAATAGGATTGATATTACATTTGTGTAGAAATTGAAAATCTATGCAATGTAGATATAGAAGTTCACCAGATTCTAAAAAATCCACACCAGAGCTTTGACAGATCTGGCACCATTAATAGCTCCATTAGAGCTGAGATCCTCACTCGACAAAGGTCAATAGCAAATGAGCTGTTTTGAAGTTTTCGGACCATAATCGTTTGCGGGACTAGATCAACCTCCTCTGGGGGAACACATAACTTGGGGGAACACAAATCCCTGTGACACCGGACTAAACCAAGGATCGCCTGCCATAAAGTGTAGCGCGCATAAACAACACTACGAGGAAAGCCTGTCATATCTTAGATTACGTGCGATAAAATCGAAGATAAACCAACACAATCAAGATTTTTAACGTGCTCCCTTGCAGAAACCGCAAGAAAATGTTTTATTTAGTAACTAATGAAAATTTGAGTAATATGTTCAATATTTTGGGAGTACAATTTTTTTGAAAACACTATTAATTACAAAGAAATCACATTTGAAAGAGCTAGCCTTCAAGTATTATTGGAAGCCTAAGATGGATTTAGGCACGCGCGTGTACATGTATACTTTATTTGGAAAATTTTACGCGACTAGCTAGAGTTAGTGGCGGATATACCCTGCGAGCAGAGTCTCCTTTTAACTCCTATACGGGCGAGAGAAGGAAAGGAGACTCTGCAGAAATCGTGTACAATTTTATTTGAGCATGCGCAGCGGTTGCTAAGAAACTAACTCGTTCACAAGCTCACTCGTTTTATAAATGGTTT